GGGTGGTAGAAGCAGGTGGTATTTTCATTGATAAGGAAGGGTGACCTGGCCACTTACCTCCCATGCTAGACATAACTAAACTGAAATTCCACCTGTAGCACAAAAGCACAAAATCTTTTTTTTTTTTTTTTTTCTCAAGACAGGGTTTCTCTGTATTGATTTGGAGCCTGTTTGAAACTAACTCTGTAGACCAGGCTGGCCTGGAACTCACAGAGATCTGCCTGCCTTGCCTCCCCAGTGCTGGGACTAAAGGTGTGTGCCACCAACACCTGGCTTCTAGAGCACAAATTTTAATTCATATTAATAATAAATTTAAATCAGATATTTTGGGTGGGGGGAGAAGGAGCTGATGAACAGACAATCAAACCAACTAGCTCCTCCAAATTCTTTTTTATGACACCATCTTCAGCTGACCAACTTGAAGCAATGTCCCAAAGAGCCTAGTGAACTCTTAAATTGCAGCTGGCTTTGTCTTATTGATGTCACTGACTCTCTATGTCTCCCTAGTTCTTTTGATGAAGGGCAAGTCCCCTTTCTCATCCCTTTACATGCTTGCATCTCTGTGATTGGAAAACAGAGTTTGTAAAAGAAGAGCCGCAGACTGCCACTTCCTTTGGGCTACAGCTCAGCATGGTCCCCACGGCTTGACAGAGCACTCTGGACTGACTTACTCTTTGCTCATTCTGCTGTCTCTCCACCCTTCTGTCCAGTCCACACCAATCCCCTGCTTCTGCAGCTTGGTTCACATTGCAACCAGCTCTTGTGCCTCCAGCCACCCTTCCTGGGAGCTCACTCATATCTTATATCTTACCTAGCAGCCTCAGGCCCCTGTGCATGTGTCAGCCCTTTCCCCTGCTTCTACAGAGCCTTCCTTGAACTCTGAGACTTCTGTAATGCTTTGTGGCCTGTAGCCATTCCGTAGTGCACACATATGCACATTACTGTGCGATGTGTGACCTGGATATCAATATAAGTTGTCCTAGTCACTGTTCTGTTGTTGTGAGGAGACACCATGCCCAAGAGTGCTCTTTTCTAAGAAAGATTTAATTGGGTGTTTGCTCACAGTTTCAGAGGTTTAGTCTGTTATCACCATGGAGGGGAGCATGTGACATGAGGGCAAGTGCTGGAGAAGTGGCTGAGAGCTGCATCCTGATCCATAGGTGCAGAGAGGGGGTGAGGAGAAAGAGAGACTGGGCAAGGTGAGCTTTTGAAACCTCAAATCCAGTCCCTTCAAGTACACTTCCTCCAACGAGGCCACACCTCCTAATCTTTATAATCCTTTCAAATTGTGGCATTCCTTAGTGAGTAAGCATTCAAAGTTATGAGTCTGTAAGGACACTCTTATCCAAATCTCCATATTAGTAACAAAATTCATAATAAAAGAACGTTTGACAGTGACCTTTTATCAAGGGAAAAGTGGGACAAGACAAATTGCAGCCAACAACACCCACATTCAGCCTAGGAATTTGTTGTTCAAATTGTGTCAGCCCTTTCCCCTGTTTCTTCAGAGCCTTCCTTGAACTCTGAGACTTCTGTAATGCTTTGTGGCCTGTAGCCATTCTGTAGCCTACAATATGCACATTACTGTGCGATGTGTGACCCGAATGTCAATATAAGTTGTCCTAGTCACTGTTCTGTTATTGTGAGACGTAAATTGTGGGAAGACATAAATGACACTGTCTCTGGCATACCATACTCCTGACAAAACCTCAGAAAAGACATCCACTGTTCTATTTCATGCAATCATTTCGCCACATTGAAAAGGGTGAGGGGCAAACTGACAGATGAACTAACTCCACTATGATGTTACTACTTTGGCCATGGCAGTATGTCTATGGAACACTCAGCCATTATGTTTCAATATTGGACCTCTAGGCAACGACCTTTATTGCCCACTTCATCTAGGATGGTATAGTGGATCTTGGTTCTTGGTGCAAATGTCACAGACTTCATGACAGATTTTCAAAGGGTGAGAGAGAGGAGGTTTGCCTGAATAAACAGAGAATTAAACAAAAGAAGAAACAAAAGGTCCCACTTTGGAAAGTGAAGAAAGAGCCCATTGATGGTCACCTGGTGGGGCACATCCTGTCTCTGTCAGCTCCATCCCTGCACACTAGCTGACCTTCAGTATAAATCCTTCCTGCTGCATGCTCTGAGGGCTGTAAAGACACACATGGTTCCTTGAGTCAAGATCATTTGAGGTATTTCAAAAGCTTGAAAAGATCTGGCTGTCCAGATGCATTTTGGTAAAAGGTAGGGAGAATGTGTGTTTATCATAGATGGAACTCTCTCCTGAATGGAGGTGGCAGCCTGAGACACTGCAGTTAAAGAGAAAGAGCTGGTTCAAGCACAGTCTAGGAAGGTCAAAATTATGTGTCAACTTTGCTGGAAGGAGGATTTCTCCAGGGACTGATCCCCTGTCACTCAGGTGAGCTGCAGAAAGCCAGGACTAGCACAAGGAACTGTGAGATGGTCTTGAAAACTACAGGCCTTCAGAAACTGTAAAAAACAGTGGACCAGAGGCAGACAATCAGGGAATAACTGAACATCTACTGTGTGTAAGGTCCTAGGGAAAGGATGTACCACAGGCAGACTAGTTCTCGGGCAGACTAGAAGGCAGTCCTTGATGTATAAAGTGTCAAGGAAATGTGAGTCACTGTGGAGGTAAAGATCCCTGAGGAAGCACAGAGCAGTGAGGAGAACAGAAAAAGGAGCAGGTGAAGCAGCTTCTCTAGTCCATAGCTGCCTGGTGTGAACTGTGGCTCAAGTGCAGCCTACTTCTTCCCAGGGATGCTCATTGGGAGGAGTAGAGGATGGGCTACTGGGATTATTGTGTTTGTAAACACTGGCATCCTAGGTCTAGAAGGGATTTTGATTGTCTTCTAGTCCTTACTCAGTTTCCCCATGACAGAATTCCCCATGCCAGAAACATCTCTGCATTATGTTGGCCATTGGTACAGACATTTCCAAATATAGTAAATAAAGACCAACTAGGCTGTGTCCATCTTATGGATCCATGTCTGTGGAGCCAACTAACCACAGATGAAATTGTTTGCAAATTCAACATGGAACCTGTACTAAACATGCACATATTTTTCTGTCATAATCCTTAACCAATACAGTCTAGTGAGTATTTAATGGCATTTATACTGTTTTAGGTATTATAGCCAATGCATGGACTATTTAAGATACACAGAATTATATGAATATCTTTTCTACTTTCTATAAGGGATTTGAGTCAGCATACTTTGGTATCTATGGGAACTTTTGTATATGTTCCCTGTGGATTTCTAAAGATTCACACAGAAGGCTATGATTTTAGTCTGGCTTTTGAAGCAGAAGTTAAAAGTTGGGGATAAGGAGCTTGATATAGCCAGCCGTCTGAATAGAAAGCAGTGAATCCTAATTAATGCCTGACAGCCAGAGTCACTGGAGCTGAGCGAACGTACAGGGGCCACTATCCTTCCGACTCTCCTTCTAGAACACCAAAGAAAGGCTGCCATTGGGGACAACTGCACTTGGGGTCTGACCATTTCCCCTGAACCTCTGTCCTCTGTCATTTACCAATTCCTGCCCCCATATGCAGTTACCACTACTATTGGTTAATTTTGACAATAATGCCTGTCATGTACTTTGATGGATCTGAAGCCAGGAGAAGCCCTCAATCGCCTCCAGCAAACAATGAATCATTTGGTTGTCTCCCTTCCCCAGCCCTTCCAGAAGTCACCCAGTGCTTGTACTGCCACCTAGTGACAACAGCCAGCAATTCTGCAGTTTTTAGGAAAAAATTTAACCAGGTTCCAAAAGAATTTTGGAATTTTTCTCCAATGCTCTATTTCTACAAAAATTAAAACACATTTAACTATGTAAAAATTGAAAGATATGCCCCATGAGTAAGTGGCGTTTACCTTCAAACCCACAAAAACTGTATGGTAGGAGGAAGGGGATGAATACAGGGAAGGTTTAGATAGGATGGGGATGTGGATGTGTGAGAAAGCTATATGGAAAATTACAGTATCAGTGTACTTCTCCAGAGGAAAAAACAGATTAATTCTAATTTCTCTAAAATAAGACATATATATCTTACTAGAGTGGCTTACAGGTTGTAGTCCAACCATTTCCACAATGGCTGTCTCCAGATAGAAAGTCCAAGAATCCAACAGCTATTAGGTCCAGAAGACTGGACATCTCAGAAGCAAGGTTAGGAAACTTTCTGGTGCCTCACAATATTCCAAACTCAAGAATGAGGATTGAAAAGCCAATGAGGAACATTGCTTTTCCAGTGAAATAATCCACTCCTCCTGTATTGTATCTTGAGTAATTGTTTAGGTCTGTGTTGGAGAAGGGATGGTGTAGCGGTTTGAATATGGAAGACCCACATAGGCTCATAGATCTGAAAGCCCCCAGAAAGTAGCACTATTAGGAGGTGTAGCCTTGTTGGGGTATGTGTGGCCTTAGAGGAGGAAGTGTGTCACTGGGGGAAGAAGGCTTTGAGATTTCATCTGTCTGTCTCTCTTCCTGCTGCCTGCAGATCCAGACAGAATTCTCAGCTACTTCTCTAGCACCATGTCTGACTGAATGTCACCATGCTTTCTGTCATGATGATAATAGTCTAAATCACTGAACTGTAAGCCAGCCCCTGTTAAATGCTTCCCTTTATAAGACTTGCTGTGTTCATGTTGTTTCTTCACAGCAATAGAAACCCTAACTAAGATAAGGGACAATGAAGATTCTTCTTTATTTTCCTCCTTAGCCTTGGAAAAGAAATCGCAATTCAATGAATACCTCAATTTGGTGATCCAAAGGCTTTTGTTCTTTGTCCAAATTTACGGAGTCACCACATATTTATGATGAATTGTTATTATGGCGTCAGAGACATGACCTCAGCACCGGAGTACACTGTCCGAGGGTTCATGGCCACATATTCATGTCAAGCAATGTAAGACTTTCTATTGCCAAAAACATACATGGATTCTTAAGGCTTGATTTGTGAAAGTGTTTATTTGTCATGCAGTGTGGCAGGCTCATCATAACTGCTCTGTTAGTCAAGGAAAAGGCACAGTGAAGTGTGTGTCCCTCAATAGCAGAAACCGGGACTCACAGCACATCCTTCCTAAGGAAGTCTAACTGCTCTGTGGTCTTCCCAGCTTTGCTTTTCTGGATACGAAGTTCATAATGGCATTGATGCATTCATCTGACAGCCACCTTGCTTTGAGGGTAGTGCACTCTTCAGCATTAACTTCATGGAGCTTTTCCTTCTCGTTTTTTCTGATTAACTCCTTGGAAATTCTCATGGACTGATGAAACAAAACCACCAATAAGTGATTCCAACACGAATAGGATTAGACCACTCTTACCATCATATTACTAAGATGTAAAATAGAGTATACCTTTAATGTACACAGAGATGACTCTTGGGCAATAGGTCTGTTATTGGACATTTCTAAATATCCAGAGATGGATACAAATGTTCTGGTTCCAGGATTACACACTCAACAGCAAGATATAAGAGCAATAGCTGCTAACTATTGCCTATACCATAGAAAGTGCTATAGAGTGAGAGTTCCCAAATAAAGCCAACCTCCTCTCCTCCCACCTGAATTCCAAAGTGAAAGCGCTGGGTGTCTATAGGCATCCTACTGGATTCATCATGCCCATGAAGATTCTCCCATTTGTCCTTGTAGCCCAGAAATGATATGTCTATCTGGTAAGTTGTTTCTTTTTTCAATTACTATTCCCAACATCATGGTAACTTTAAATACAAAACCCAGAGGCACTAAAGACATGTCTTGTCTTTTTAGGATTTGTCCCCCTAAGGCCCATTGTCCTCCTGAGAAATGATTTCCATGTCCCCACAAGTAAAAACAAAATACTAACATTTGGTGGGAGCTTCGCATATGCTCTCAGCCTGGTCCAGACTTCTTTCTCAAAAGTGCTCTCAGGAAAAACTTCAGAGACCAGGCCGTGAGCACAAGCCTCTCTTGCTGTGAGCTTCTTCCCGAAGAGAAGCACCTCAGCTGCCTACAATACAAAGAGAGATGCGACCCTAGCTTAATAAAGCAAGGGTTCAGTTGACTTCAGAACAGCCAGCTTCAGGATACATGCTCTCTCATGGCCGTTAGATTGTCTGTCTTTCACAAGAACTTGGAAGCTGATGGCCTTCCTGGACAGAGTTTTCAAACAGCTCAGGCCATACCTGTTTCTGTCTCTCTAGAAGCTGGAATGGCAGCTTCTTCTGTGAGGGTGTGCACTGGAGAGGCAAGAATGGGAAACAGGGCGGAAATGACCTGACCCCCTACGAGCTATTAAACATTGAAAATAATAACAAAGGGGGGCAAAATAGCACCCATTGGGTCAACCTATGAGGCATTCACAGTCCACCCCCTTACTGGTTGTCCTAATGGTTGTGCTCTAAGCATCGTTCCCTGCACAGGTACTGAAATTACTCCTATGGGAATGAAGGGTCATGGAGATAGCTTACACTGCATTTTTATAAAAACATAGGCCCAAGAGCAAAAGTTATTTCTATAGTTTCAAGAGACATAAATTCCAAATGCTCTAACTTTGAGGAGCTGGTTCTGCTTAACTTTGCAAAGCTTAATTGATTCGTAACTCAGGCTCTGTGATCTCAATATGATGAGTTTAAAAAAGTATATGTACACAGACTATGTATGTATGGCTTGTGAGGGACTTTCCCAATAAAATATCCAATAGTCATCAGACAGACTTTCTTACCATATTTAGATCATGATCAATGTCTGCTAAGCCCTTCTCTCTGTCCTGTCTCTCTCCAGTCCTGTCTGTGTCCTTTAGGGACTCCACAGAGGACAACTAGATTTGCACCAATGCAGAGCTAGATCTGAGCAGCCAGTGGAACACCTTGTGAGTCTCAGCACACAGAACAATCGGTAAAAGACAGCTCTGATGGTGTCACAGAGGCTATGACTTCAAATGGCCACAATGAGAGGATGTCACCATGTCCTCTCAGATGATCTTGCTCATCCACACAGTTAGGTGGCTCTGAGCTAATCACATCTGTAAAGGCTTCCCGGTACTGGTCCTTCAATGACTGTCACACAGCCCCTGTGCTGGACAAAGCCTTGTGCTGCCTCCAATGATCCAGCTGTAGGTCACCAGCTGTCAGACTGTCCCTATAGTAGGAATTTCAGAGAAAATGTCCTGACCCTTCCCTTATATTAGATCTCCCCTTATCCTGGTTCCTCTACATTACAGAGGAAATAGTCATCCTGCAAACTCTGCCCAAGGGAAAGAAGACAGAGTACAGAATTGCCCTGGCAACAAAGATGACACGCTACAGTTTAAGTTTTTTTTTTTTTTTCTTTTCTAAGTTACCTTTGCTGAGCCCATTATCCTTGGAAATGTGTAAGAGGAGCATGCTTCTGGGCTCTGACCGAGGTGACTGAATGGAGTATGAAATGTTGCCTAGATGGGATTGAAAAAGAAAAGCGTTTAAAAATTGCTATTTGATTTAAAATTCACAGATGCACATTTGTGTACTTGGATGGTTTTCTTTGTCTCACCTGGTCCCAGTAGACTATTTTCACTCCTCCTGCCAGAAACTCTCATCCACGTATGTCATACTACTCAGAGGCTATATGAAATATAATTGTTTGGCCAATGGCTCAGACTTATTCCTGGCTAGCTCTTTCTTATAAATTGACCCATATGTATTAACCGATGTTGCCCAGTAGCTTGGTTTACTGGTGATACTCTAACGTGTTACTCCCTTAAGAGGCTGCATGGTTTTTCCCTGACTCAGCCTTCTTTCTCTATGTAGCTATATTTTGATTTCCAGCCTACCTATATTCCCTGGCCATTGGTGAAACAGCTACATTCATCAACCCATAAAAGCAACACGTATTCACAGCATACAGAAGGACATGCACAAATACAGTCTGTTGGAGACAGACTATATATCCTAATCTGACCTTGAATTTAACCATCTCATGCCTCAGCCTCTTGAGCACACGGATTACAGGTATGTACCACAATGTCCAGCTCAGTATGTCTAATTGATCAGGATATTTAAATTAAAATTATATGTTATACTACATACATGATTCACTACTATTGTGTTATTAATGGACTTTTACAAATATGTAAACTATGTTGCCAACAACAATTTCAGCAGAGAAAACATTTACTACCCCAAAAGCCTCCTGAAGGCCCTGTGGGCAATCCCTTCCTTCCATCATCTCCCTGTATCAATGTTCTCGTCTCTTCTGTTTTGCCTTTTCTAGAATATCACATGCATGGACTCCAACATACAATACACCCTTGTTTCTCACTCCTGTCACTTGGCATAAGGTTTCGGAGTCACTCATGCACTGCAAACTGGTAGCCCTTTCTCTCTTGTGCTACTTTTACCATGTGTATGTGTCATCATTTGTTGACTTATATGCCAGTATTATGGCCATTATCAGTAGGATATGTGACAACCATGAGCTTGTTTGATATAATACATAAATTCCCATTTGTCAATAATATCTGAATGAAGTTGAAAAAGTACCTTTCAGATATATTCTACAAAAAAAAAAAAAAAAAAAAAAAAAAAAAAAAAAAGTTGTTGGGAATAGAGTGGCTGTGTGATCAACATTATACATTGTACATTGAGAGCCCCGCCTGGTCCATGTACTTATTCAGATTCAACAGGAGAAGAACATGGAGCCCAATCATGGCACTATGTGCATAACAGTGCCTCATGTTCTCAGTTTCTATGTCCTTTATGACCAAGGGTTTTCAGGATATTTTTTGTATACTTATTGGACATGTGTTGTACCGTTTTTGGTGAAGTAACTGTTGGCATGTTTCCCATTATTGTTTTGTTTTTTATGAGACAGGCATTCTCTGTGTAGCCATGGCTGTCCTGGAACTAGTTCTGCAGACCAGGCTGGCTTGGAACTCATAGAAATTTGTCTCCCAAGTGTTGGGATTAAAGGCATTTACCATCATTGCCCACCATTATCCACTATTTTTAAAGTAAAATTATTTGTCTCCTTATTTTTGAATTGTAAGGATTCTTTATAGACACAGGTTACAAGTAAGTATCATGCAAATAATTTTTACTGTTCTGTGGCTTTTCTTTCCTTTTAAATAAAAACAATGTTTTGGTTAATGCGTCTTTATCCAAATGTAGCACAGGCTGGCCTCAATCATAGAGCACTTCTCTTGTTTCAGCTTTGCAGAGGAGTGCTGGGATATGGTCATGGGCTATCATATCCTGCTGGCCTTTTGGAGCTGGAGTTAAGGAAGGGTGTGGGAGGGGAACCTCATGTGGTCCAGGCTAGCCTTGTTATGGAGCCAAAAATGACCTTGAATCTTGATTGTCTAGCCATTCTTCTCCCCAAGTCCTAGGATTGTATCTATCTACCATTACACTCAGCTTCTCTTTGCATCACACAAACTTTAAGTTACATTTATTTATTTATATGTGTATGTGTGCACTGGAACAAATGCATGTACATGTACATAGGTCAGAGGTCAATGTCTTGTGGTTGTTTTTATCCTTCCACCATGTGCATCCCAGGGATTAAAATTATGTTGTTTTGTGGACTAGTTTGATGGCAACATCATAAGAGCTAGAGTAGCCTGAGAGACTGCACTGTACTTGAGAAATGCTCTCATAATGTTGGCCGGGAGATGTAATCCCACAGGGAGTGGTGCTCCCTCTTGGCTGACAGTCCTGGGTGGTATAAGGAAGTCAACTGAGCAAGCCATCAAGAGCAATTAAGTAAGCCATGGCCCCTGCATCAGTTCCTGCTTCCAGGTTCCTGCCCTGTTTGAGTTCCTGTCCTGACTTCCTTCAATGATGGGCTGTGATGTGGAAGTGTAAGACAAATACATCCCAAGTTTCTTTTGGCATGGTGTTTCTTGACAGCACTAGACACTCTTAAGTCACCCGGCACACTTATAGCAAGTACCTTCATGGTTAAGCTATCTTGCCCAGTCCCTAGAGAAGCAGGCTATTTTTAATGTTCTCTTTCATGGTTTGAAGAACCAGTATGCTTCATTTCTTGTATGCTACTTATTTCTTTTCAATGTCCATGTTTTTATACTAAATTTCTGGTCAAATCCTTTACAGATACACTTTAAGAATATTTTGAAATGGCTGGCTTTTGTTGGGTGAGTTGAAAAACTCTTTTTCTCAATCTTCTGTTTGTCTTAGTTTTGCCTCAGAGGTCTTCTGGCAGGCTTCACATTCTACATTTAGTTTCAATATTTGTGGTTTAGATGTCAAACATGTACATTTATTTCTATAATTAAGAAAACAATTTTAAGACAGGGTCTTACTCCATAGCCCTGATAGGCTGGTCTGGAACTCATGACAATCTTCCTGCCTCAGCTATCCAAGTGCTGGGATTACAGGAATAAGCTAACACATACACATATTTATATATGTTTTGATGAATAACAAATATTTATGAAAGTGAATCACTGGTATGAGTAGGCAAATACTTAACTGCTAATAGTAATACATAGCAGTTATTTAAATGCATATTTGTGAGAATATATATGTAGCATATAAATAAAAAGATGAAATACTCCCATTAATGTCACATTTCTTTTCACCCCAGAAACTTTGGTCAAGAAAACATACTTGAAGATTATAATCAGACAATATAGCTTCAAGAATATAATCAGAAAAGCTACCACAGCTAAGTTTCCATAAAAAGGTACATATGAATTTGACAAAAACAGTTATTACAATGCCTATTTCCAGAGATGGAATGGTGGATACATTTAAGGGATGAGACTAGCAATGAACTCATTAATGGCTTTGGGACAGTCCCTTACCCTCCCTGGGACAGTTTCCTCTATCTATAAATCTAATATGACCTCACAGGGTTGCTGTGTGTATTGTGTAAAATGTGCATATGTGTAATGTGTATTAAGAGTATGTATACACTGTGAACAAGCAAACATTTATTTGAACAAATTTAAAACTCACATGGAAACAGTGTATTTACTGAAAAAGTAACTATTAGCATTTTACCTACTAGTTGCATTTAAGATCAGTAGCCATCATGGACAACAGCATAGTAATGTGTATTTTAATAGGGTTGAACATGAATTCCTTGTTCAATATGGTATTTGTTTATGAAGTCAATAAAAACCTAGGTAATCTCTTTGATGGTTAAACAGGAAATTTTAAGGACCTCCTAAGGAGAAGGAACCAGAAGAATCTGGGGACTAATGATTTATATTTCTAGGGAAATCACTAAGACAACTGTTCATCACATCTGTATTTGCAATAACAGAACTCAGAAACAGCCTAGGGTTTCAACATCCAGACATTGATGAAATTTGCTAAGTTATAACCAAATGCTAGCATTTGTTTGCATATGAGTTATGAAATGAGTGATATTTCCCTAATTAATAAATACTGTGAAAATTAAAGTAGGTAATATATTAGTATGAAATGTATATGTACATACATACATACATTAAAATTGCCCTTTAGTGAAAGCAATAAACTCATATATTCACATCCAGGTATAACAATAATCTATTCATTTGCCAATACATTCCACTATTATTTGCTACAGTCTTCAAACACATTAGATTCTTTGACATCATGTATCTGTCACTATGTTTCCTTTGAAATATATATCCCTAATCCTACTACCCACCCATCATCCTATAGATTAATGTTTCTATAATGGTCCTGGGGATCCAATTAAAGAGCCTTCCCCTTTTAACTTTACTAATCAACACATCTATATCCCATAAAAAAATCTTTTCTTTATATTTTCAATATTTCTAGAAAATTTATGTTTGGCAAATACAGAAATGTACTATGGTAAGTTTAAGAAGAAAAATACAACTCACACATAGTGTAATACACCTTTAATCCCAACAATTTTGAGGCAGATACAAGACTATCTCTGGGTTCAAGACCAGTCTTGTCTCCCTATATAGTGAGTTCTTGGCCATCTAGGGTTGCATACTGAGACTCCTCTCTTTCTGTCTTCAACACACACACACACACACACACACACACACACACACACACACACAAGCTAAATAAAGTGATGAACACAAGGCTGAACATTATTGAATGTTCAGATTTTCTCAGAGCTGTAAGTTTTCTTATCTGCAAAGTAGGGGCAGAGGTGAATGACCAAAGTCCCTTCTTGGTCTAGAAGTCTAAATACTAGGTTTGCTGAACTAGGAAAATAGGATCAAGCAATATGCACAGAAGTTATGGTCTCTCCTGCAAGCTTTCAAACGTCTCCTGAGCATTTTTGAGTCACATGAAAACTGAAAATTGAACAATTATGTACTCAGGTTAAAATACAGAACCATTAGAGTTGGGGCAATGTTCAAAACAATAATTGTGTTTAGAAAGATGAATTAACAATGCAGGTAAAATATAAACTATCAAGCTAGACTAAGTCTTTCAGAATTATCTAAATTACTGCATTCTACCACTGTCTTGCTTTGCTTCCTGTTGCTGGGATAAAACACTGACCAGAAGCAACGGGCAGAAAGGGTTTACTGGCTGACATGGTAAGGTCCATCCTGAGGGAGCTAAAGAAGGAACGCAAGCAGAAGCAGAGGAAGGAACCACAGAGGAACAGTGCGTATTGACTGTTTTCCTACAGCTTGCTCAGCTTGCTTTCTTTCCACAACCCAGATCACCTGCACAATAGTAGTGCTGCCTACAGTGGGCTGTGCCCTCCAGAGTCAACAATTAATTAAGGAAATGCCCTACAAATATGCCCATTGGCCACCCTGATGGAGAAAAATTCTCAGGTTGAGGTTCCCTCTGTACAAGTAACTCTAGTTTGTGTCAGGTTGATAAAAACCTAATCAAGACAACCATTAACCCTTTGTAACGCAATTAGTGATAGCCACAATAAAGGGAGAATCAAGTACTTAGTGCTTGACCTATGCTTGTAGAGGTAGACTTACCTTGTCAGATGCATAGACAGCATCAAACAGTCCCAGAAGGGTGACAGAGATTCCTACAGCTGGGCCATTTACTACTGCAACCAGAGGTTTGGGAAAGTCTATAAAACTGTTTACAAATTCCCTAAAGAAATGGAAATAAAATATCATTAAACACCCCAAAGTGGCAGCAGTAACTATACAAAGGAATGCATAAATCTGATATGACATCATTCCATAGGGCCACCTCCCCACTTTGGCCAAGGCTACCTATAAATATCACCTAATGTATTATCAGGTCATGGCTCCTGAAGGCTAAGGCCAGTTCACACCTTGTGCACTGAATTCACCATTGTGGGCCAGCTGTGACCTCAGAGATCTTGGTGGGTAACTACATGCATAAGTACATGTTACATAAGTGCATATTACACAGAGGGGGACTGAGAAATTTGGCAGAACTAGGACAGGAAGCCAAAGCCTAAAACTTCCTTCAACACCTTTCAAAACTGAATTCAAGAGTACTGTCTATTCACCTCTCTGCAAAAGAACTCACTAACTTCTCTGTCTGTTTCACTCCATACACTTTCCAGTATACCTCATGTAGAGGGTGGGATGAAGAGGGGGATCCGATGGGGAATCACAGTTAAGTGCATCAGCACAGACAAGTGGCTGTTTTACTGATATGTTAAGAATGAACTCTCTTGTGGGGATGAGGGGTTGACTCATTTGTTAAAGCATTTGCCATGTAAGTGTGGAGATGGACTAGAAGTTAAATTCCCAGAGTCTCAGTATATTTTCCTGGGTATGGAGGCCTATTTGTAATTGGCCCTAGTAGATCAAAATGGAAGCCTAGATCACGCATATGAGTGAGCTATGGGTTTGTGAGTTCTCTTTCAGTGAATAAAGTTAAAGAGTGAGCATGCTAGTCTTATGACAACTTGACACAATCAAGAATCATTTGGGAAGAAAGACTTTCAATTGAGAAAATGCTTCCATTATATTGGGCTATAGGCAAGTCTGTGGTGCATTTTCTTAATTAGTGATTGATGGATGTAGGGGGCCCAGCCTATCATGGGTGGTGCCACCGCAGGGCTGATAGTCATCATGCCATAAGAAAGCAGGGTGAGAAAGCCAGGAGGGAGTAAGCCAATAAACAATACTCCTCCATGGTCTCTGGATTGGTTCCTGCCTTCAGGTTCCTATACTTGTTGCCTTTGATGATGAACTGTGATGTGAAAATGAAACAGGAATAAACCTTTTCCTCCCCCAGTGTTCTGGGCATAGTGTTTTGTCACAAAACAGAAACTCTATGACAAAAACCAATGAAGAATGTTTCTGACAAAGAACTCAGATGCAACGTAACATACATGCATGTGTACCCTCCCACATGCTCACCATAAACAGACACACAAAAGTAGAGGGAAATAAAATTAACCCTCTAGCATCAAACACGTTCCACTCTTACCTCAGTACCACAGCACCCTTGCTTGCTGCCTCCTCCATTCCACCAGCAGCACTAGTGAAGTTAGTTAGGTCATTCCCACTGCAGTAGTAGTCACCAGCTCCTGTGAACAGTCAATCAACATAGCTACGATTCTTTCATATATCTACTCATGTGAGAGCAGATGTGTATCTGCTGTGTGCAGGGGAAGAACAGGGTGCAGGGGGAGCTGGTGTAGTCAAGATGAGTAGACAGACGGTCCACAGATCCCTGAAACATGGGGATTGGTACCAGGCTCTAAAGAATGTATTGTGTTCTTTCCTTTACAGTTGATCCTCCATACCCACAGGTTTTACATGTATAGATTCACCAAAAGAAAATATTTCAGGACCAAAACTATCATCAGTACTCAACATTCACAGACTTTTTTTCTTGTGACTGTTCATTCCTCAACAATGTAATGAATACTGACATAGCATCACTCTGTGTTAGGCATTAGAAGACATCCAGAGGGGATTCAGAATCCTTGGGCTGTGTGTGACTTCTATGCAAACACCACGTGATCCTACATAGGTTACATGAACGTAAAATGTTCTATATTGATGAGAGTCATGGAACTAATTCCCAGAGAATGCATAGGGGGACTGTATGCACATACCTGTGAAAGAGTTCAATACATGGGACAGGCAAGACATTTAGAGTAACACACTTTAACAATAACAATGTACCATATAAAACATACTGCTATTTTTTTTTTTTAGCAACTTCTACTTATTTTCAGACCAAGGTTGATGACATGTCACTGAAGATCTGGGAGGCAAAACCCCTGAAAGGAGCATTCAGTTAAGAGGGGCTGACACCTCAGAATGTTCCAGATGCTCTTTGTACCCTGTCATCCCAGCTGCCTGGGATGTCATGTACAGCCTTACCAACAGAGTAAAAGGTCTGTCCAATATCATAGAACTTATACCGATTGAACTGAGAAATATGCACTCTTTCATTTCATGAATTTCACCAAGCCATTCTATAAGAATCATCCATATTTTTGCATGTATGAAGCATTCATTTCTTGCTGAAAAGACTACAGGTTTTGGACAGATGAGGTATTTTCTGCTATGGCTTTTATGAATCAGACAGCACAAGCTTTACTTCATCAGTCAGGAGGTATTTTCTGTTATGGCTTTTGTGAATCAGACAGCACAAGCTTTACTTCATCAGTCAGGTGTGCTGTCTGATTCATCAGGATTAATTATCAAAGAGTGGTTTCATTATGTGCATGATATACGGTGCATTTATAAATAAACCACCGAAGCTCTAGAAAAGATCTGGAATCAATATCAATTGTCTTTCTAGTAAGATATTCCTTAAAGTAGAAATTGAAAGTCTATGAAAATTTCTTACCTGTGAAAACAGTTATGGCTGAGTTGTCGGTGCTAGCATTTTTAAGTGCAAGCATGATATCCTGATACATCTTTGTGAATAGAAAGAGAGAAAAGTACAATAAAAATGAGATTCATCATCCAGTTGATTGAGCCACTAAATCTGTCTGCAAGCCCTCTCAACACAGTCTCAAAGAAATTTTTTTTAAGACTTACTTATTTCAGTTTATATATGTGAACAAGCGAGACAAAGCTCTGGAACTTTGGAGCTGGACAGTTATTGTGCTCCAATGGGGATGGGGCCAGGGAAGGACATGAGGTAGCACACAGCTTGCTAGAACTGTTGAGGTTGCTACAGAAGGCCAGAGGAAAGGTGGCTGAGGAAACCGTCCCAGAAACAGCACCTCAGCTGTGGCTTCTAGGAAGGGGAAGTGTCCTGGGCAGTCCGGGAAGCCATAGCTAATGCAGAGGCTAGATTTCTGAGACCCTGTGCTAGGTTGCAGGGCACTGGGCTGGATCGTTTCTGTAAATCTTGCTGTAATTATAGTTTTCCAAATTGGTATAGGTTTTCCTTTAAGAAGATTCAGTGTGGGAAAGAGTTGTGAGGAGGGTGAGGACTTCTAAAGACATTGGCAAAATAAAAATACACATTTAATATGTGAATCATGACATGGCTGGTTCCCTAAGGCAGGGGACAGGAAATTGTCCCTGCGAATTATAACAAAGGAGACACTTAAGGCAAGGTGACTGGCTACAGCCAGGGTCAGGAAAGAGACGGATCAATTTAGATTCTCCTGCTTTCCAGCTATAAGAACTTATCAAGTTACTTCTCAACCTGCTGAACTATTTTGTTAAATAACAGTGTCAAGGTTCACTTGTCTACAATATGCAGCTGTAATTACCCTGCTTACATAGAAGTAACTCAGCACAAGCAGAGTTCTCAGTATTAAGTGACTTATCAACTGGAAGGATCATAGCAACATTACAAGATTCTTCTGCTTCAAAGGAGCATGGCATCCTATGCTGTAGATGGCAGCCTTGACCCCCCCCTCCAGTTCATATCCTAGAATATGATAAACCTCCTGTAATTAGGAGGAGGGGTTCAAGCGATTTACTTATTATCAGTGAGTTCTAGGAGAAATTCAAAATTGCCCTGTGAAGTAGCTCACTCACTCAGTGCTATTACTGGTCTGCTGCAAATAAAGTCTTTCTCTCAGTTCTCCCTACAAAGAATGGTCCAAAGCATGGTCATGTAAAAGACTCATGGTGTAAGTGGTTTCTGTGCATCTCTATCAATTCTCTTTCATTTACATTGATTTGTGTTTCCATTCATAGAAAAGTTTCATTGCCTTCTAGATATTTAGAACTTTTTAGAAACTCTGAAGTTCTAAACAGTGCCCAAATCTAGTGAGTTAAGCCAGAAATGATAAATTTCTTCCAAAAAATATGAATAAGCTGAAATTCTACAGTTGCACTCATGAAAGAAATATGAGATAGAAAAATGTGATCATGCCCTGAGCATCACCTGGAAGGTTATGGCATTCTTTTTGGTGGGCCGATTGAACATGATCTTTGTGATGCCATCTTCAGAGGATACCACAATGTCCTTAGACTCCTGCACTTTCTCATCGGCTCCATGGGTTCCCTGGCTAGAGGCTTCAGATGAAGGACTCAAACTGGACACCAGATCCACATAGTTCTGCCTGGCAGTTTCCTGAGGATGACAAAGACATTCAGCCTTTAAAACAAGCAATTTGAGAACCATACTACGCTAATAAAAACCACTATACAATAAAGAGAAGACCCATGGAGAGGTGACCCATATGTGTAATTCTAGCCTCTGAGAGGCTGAGGTAGTAGGATTGTTGAGTTCAAGGCCAATCTAGGCTATAGTAGTAAGGGGGAGGGGATTAAAAATTCCAAAGGCTCTAGTAAGGTCCAGTTAATAATAGTAAACAAACATACCTTTGGCAGGCTGCCAAGGGCATTCCATGCTTCCCACTTGGCTTTATTGACCAGGTCAAACACACCTGGCTTAGGCACATTACAGGGTCCGTCTGTGGCCTATAAAGAACACAAGTGTCATTAAGATGGAAGAGAAAGCTCTTGAGAAAATGGTTCTCAAAACCTAAGAGTTCATAAATTTTATAATCCTGACCAGTTGTCACAGGAAGTGAAATCACTGAGCCAATTTTCAAAAGTCACAGAGCATGTGGAAAGTCCACACAATATTCTAAAATCCCATCTGTGGGGATAGAATCAGATATTGAGTGATAAATTCCTATCTGCTCAAAAGGCTATCGCTGGTGCAGTAGGGATGGGGTCTTCAGTTCCTGGTTCCCAGTAGGCTTAGCTGAGTGCCACTCCAGGAAATAAAAATAAAAAAAAAAAACAAAAAAAAAAAAACTAATTTTATTTGAGGTTGGTGAAGCAGGTATCCTGAAATGAATAAAGTACCCCACTTAGCTACTTCTCAGAAGTCATTTTTATTTTCCAGACTGGGTTTCTCTGTTTTGCTTTGGAGCCTGTCCTGGAACTAGCTCAGTAGACAGACCAGGCTGGCCTTGAACTCACAGAGATATGCCTGCCTCTGCCTTCCAAGTGCTGGGACTAAAGGCATGAGCCACCAAGGCCCAGTTTCAAAAGTGATTTTTAAACTACTTAAATTTTATTAATTTTGTCATAGAGTGAGTTAGTGGGGGACATAAGAGGCTTGAAAATCAAGGGTGGTGAAGGTCCTGATTCATACATACGAAGTTGCCCAATGGAGTCAGCATCTGGGCACTTACAGGGAACCGAATTCACAAAGAGTTGCTCTTCCCTCTGCTAATGGAAGCCTAAGGATCTCCTGGGGACTCAGACAGTGGCTTCTATTTGTTTCTAGCCCTTGCATTTCTCCATCCCAACTCTGACTAGCCCTACCCCCTACAGTCCTCAAAGCTTAAGGCTGAGCAGTTTCCAAGATCACCTCAGTTCAAATCCACTAGAAAGATTCACAGTGCCTCTCTACAAGCTGTGGTATTCATGGTTATATTTCCTCACAGGGAAAGGACAGAGACTTAAATAAGCTGAGGGCAAAGGCTCACAGGATAGAGTTCAGAGGCCAGGTCAATGTGATACTCATATTGTCCTCTCCCAAGAGTCAGGAAGGGGAAATGAATACCCCAGACTGAGGGATATATGAGAATACATGTGGAGTATTGCCAATGAATATGCTCTCTGCAGCTTCCTTGTCCAATCTTTGCCAGACCCTTAACCCATGGCCAAACCCTGAGACCACCTTGTACGCTAGATCCACTGCTAGACTCTCTGGATAAACAAAGATGCTTGTACCAGGCATGACAGTTCATGGGGTTAGAGAATACCCCTAGTAGCTGAAGCAAAGTCTTTTTGGACAAGTAAAATTCTTGAATGTGCACATCCATTTTTGTTTACCTAGGGTTTCTGTTGCTGTGATAAAAAAAAATCATGAGCAAAAGCAACTTTGGAGGACAGGGCAGTAGGTAGAGACAGCCATGCTCTCTCATATATCCCATATTAATCATTTACCAGGAAAATGCCCAATAGACTTGTCTACAAGCCAATCTTCCCCGAGGCATTCTCTCAATAGAGTCCCCTTTCCCAAATGATTCTAGCTTATGTCAAGTTAACAGAGAAAAACAACCATGACACCCACATGAAGAGACACTCATGCTAATCACATGCTAGAAAATAATAAAAACAATAAATGATAACACAGGAGGTCAGGATTGCAGACATAGGGGTGAAGCCATTACAACCTTTAGTTCCTCAATGGTTATAAAAATTTTCAAAGGTTCACAGATATATGAGTTACAATATCCAATTAATCAATCTAACCTCTTATTTAATTTTACCTTATGGGCTTCACCTATTTTCTTTTTTATGTTTATTATAATTGGTTTCAAACATCCCAAATTCCACATTATTTCATCCTTAAAATAGTTACTATCAATTTTCTCAGAACACCAACATTTTATTATAGAATCCTGGCACCAATAACAATATCCAGGACAGGCCTGTTTTTGGTCTGCCTTCTGGGGCCCTGCTCAGAGCCTCCTGAGACCTGGGGCCTGCAAGTGCACACTGAACAGTCTGCCAGCATCCTGGTTCCCCGTTTGTCCATTGAGATAAACTTGGGACTGTTTCCAGCCTGCCTTTGGGGGTCCTGATCTGAGCCTCCTGAGGCCTGGGGCCAGCACAGCATGGAGGAGACCATCCAGGTGCACCATCCTGCCCAAAATCTACCAGCTGCCTGGTCCTGCCTCTGCCTCCCACCTTCTAGTATCCTCCTAGGAGCTTCCTGGGAACTTAAGACTGTGTCCCAGGGGTATCCCAGGGGACCAGCCCATCCACAGTCTGCCAGCACGTTAGTCCAACCTCCATCCACTGGACGAGGACAGCCATCAGAATATTGGACCTGCTTGCACCCACCCTAAGAGAACATTGGTCATGTACTCACCAGGAGAGGGAGAGACCCCACTGGTACTCATTGGAAGAAGGGATGGGTAGACAACCATATAAGAACACAGTCAATAACAGAAAGCTCAATATGACACCCCCAGAGTCTAGGGACTCCACACCAGCAAGACATGAACATCCCAACACAGATGAAGCAGAAGAGAATGACCCTAACAACAACTTCATGAAGATGATAGAGACCCTAAAAGAGGAAATGAAAAAATCCTTTAAAAAAATGGAAGAAAACAAACCAAAACTGCAAGACATCAACAAGTCTCTTAAGGAAAGCCAAGGGGGAAAAAAAACCAAACAGATTAAAAAAAAAAAAAATTCAAATCGTCCATTATCTGAAAACTGAAGAAGACAATAAAGAAAACACAAACTGAGGGAATGCTGGCAATAGAAAAGCAGGGTAAACAATCAGGAAGTACAGATGCAAGCATAACCGATAGAATACAAGAGATGGAAGAGAAAATCTCAGGCATTGAAGATATACTAGTAGAAATAGATACATAGACCAAAAAAATCTTAAGTATAACAAATCCCTAACACAAAACATCCAGGAAATATGGAACACTGTGAAAAGGCCAAATCTAAGAATAATAGGTATAAAAGAAGAGGAAGAAACTCAACTCAAAGGTGCATAAAATATATTCAACAAAATCACAGAAGAAAATTTCCCAATCTGAAGAAGGACATGCCAATGAAAGTATAAGCTTACAGAACACCAAATAGAGTGGACTCCAAAAAAAGTCCCCTTGCCACATAATAATCAAAACACTTATCATACAGAATAAAGAAAGAATATTAATAACAACAAAGGAAAAAGGCCAAGTAACATATAAAGGCAAACCTTTCAGAATTATACCTGACTTCTCCACAGAAACTCTGAAGGCCAGAAGGTCCTGGATAGATATTCTACCAACACTAAGAGACCATAAACACCAGCCCAGACTACCACACCCAGCAAAGCTTTCAATAACTATAGATGGATAAAGCAAGATATTCCATGACAAAACTTATCAACTAATCCAGCCCTATAGAAAGTTCTGGAAAGAAAACTCCAACCCAAGAAAGTTAAGTACACCCACAAAAAATGTAGGCAGTAGATAATACCACTTTACCAACAGCCATAAGAAAAATGGGGGGAAATCCACACATAATACCACCACCAATAACAAATCCAAAAACAAACAAGAATGAACAATCAATGGCCATTAATACCCCTCAATATTAATGGCCTTAACTTACCTATAAAAAGACACAGGTTAACAGAATGGATACGAAGACAGATTCCATCCTTCTGCTGCATATACAAGAAACACTTCAAAGACAGGGTTAAGGGTTGGGGAAAGATTTTCCAAGAAACAAGTGGGTATTGCAATTCTAATATCTAACGAATTAGACTTTAAACCAAAATCAATCAAAAGAGATGAAAAGGGCATTTGTTATTCATCACAAGAGAAATCCAACAAGATGAAGTCTCAATTCTGAACATCTATGCCTCAAACACGAAGGCACCGACCTTCATAAAAGAAACATTACTAAAACTCAAATCACATATAAAACCTCACACACTTAGTGTGGGAGATTTCAACACCCCACTCTTAACACTAGACAGGACCACCAGACAGAAACTTAACAAAGAAACAAGGGACTAACAGAAGTTATGACCCAATTGGGTTTAACAGCCATTTATAGAATATTCCATCCAAACAAAAGAGAATATATCTTCTTCTCAATGCCACACAGAACCTTTTCTATAATCGACCACATACTCGGCAATACAGCAAACCTCATTAAGTACAAAAACTTTGGAATAACCCCCTGTATCTTATCAGACCATGCTTTAAATTTAGAATTCAACAACACAAATTGCAGAAACTCTACAAACTCATGAAAATTGAACAACGTGCAATTGCACTATTCCAGGGTCAAGGAAGACATAAAGAAAGAAAGTAAAGACTTCTAGAATTCAAAGAGAAGGAATGCACAAAATACCCAAACTGATGGGATATTTTGAAAGCAATGTCTAGAGGAAAGTTCATAGCACTAAGTGCACACATGAAGAAACTGGAGAATAGTCACATCAGAGAACTAACAGCATAACTGAAAGCTCTAGAACAATAAGAAGCAAAATCACCCAGGAGGAGTAGACACCCAGAAATAATCAAATTGAGGGCTAAAATCAATAAAGTAGAAACTGGGAAAACAATACAAAGAATCAATGTAACAAAGAGTTAGTTCTTCTAGAAAATTAACAAGATAGACAAAGCTTTATCCAAACTATGCAAAGGGCAGGGAAAGAACATGCAAATTAACAAGATCAGAAATAAAAAAGGGAAGATAACAACAGACACTGAGGAATTTCATAGAATCTTCAGGTCATACTTTGAAAACCTGAATTTCATAAAATTTAAAAATTCAACGGACATAGACAGTTTTCTGGATAGATACCACTTACCAAAATTAAATCAAGACTAGATAAGCAATTTAAATAGTCTCCCAACCAAAAAAAAAAAAAGCCCAGGACCAGGTGGATTCAGTGCCGATTTCTACCAGAAATTCAAAGAAGAGCTAATACCAATACTCCTCAAATTGTTCCACACAATAGAAGCAGAGGTTCATCAAACTCTTTTCACAAGGCTACAATTACTTTAGTACCCAAGGCAGACAAAGACACAACTAAGAAAGAGAACTACAAGCCAATATCCTGCATGAACATTGATGCAAAAATATTCAATAAAATACTTGCAAATTAAATACAAGAATACATCAGAGAAATCATCCACCATGACCAAGTAGGCTTCATCCCAGGGATGCAGGGATGGTTAAATATATGAAAATCTATCAATGTAATCCACCACATAAACAAACTTAAAAAGAAAAACCACATGGTAATTTCACTAGATGCTGAAAATACCTTTGACAAAATCCAACACCCCTTCATGATTAAGGTCTTGGAGAGATCAGGGATGACAGGAACATACCTAAACATAATAAAAGCAATATACAGCAAACCAACAGCCAACATCAAACTAAATGAAAAGAAACTCAATGTGATTCTTCTAAAATGAGGAACAAGACTTGAAGTTCTAGCTATAGCAATAATAAAACAAAAGAATATCAAAGAGATACAAATTGGAAAGAAAGAAGTCAAACTCTCACTATTTGCAGATGATATGCTATTGAGTCTTTAAAGAAAGAAATTAAAGAAGATACCAGAAAATGGAAAGATCTCCTATGCTCTTGGATAAGTAGGATCAACATAGTAAAAATGGCAGTCTTGCCAAAAGCAATCTACAGATTCAATGCAATCCCCATCAAAATTCCAGCACAACTCTTCACAGACCTTGAAAGAACAACACTCAACTTCATATGAAAACAGAAAATAAAATAAAAAAAGACCCAGGATACCGTACAATAAAGGAACTTCAGAAGGCATCACCATCCCTGACTTCAAGCTCTATTGTAGTCATGAAGACAGCTTGATATTGGCACAAAAATAGACAGGAAGACCAATGGAATAGAATTGAAAACCCTGAAATTAACCGCATACTTACAAACACCTGATTTTTTTTTTTTTACAAGGAAACTAAAATTATACAAAAGAAAGCATCTCAACAAATGGTGCTGGCATAAGTGGATCCTGACGTGTAGAAGACTGCAGATAGATCCATATCTATTGCCATGCACAAAACAAGTCCAAATGGATCAAAGACCTCAACATAAACCCAGATACACTGAACCTCTTAGAAGAGGAAGTGGGAGGTACCCTTGAACGAATTGGTACAGGAGAATGCTTCTTGAACATAACTCCAATAGCAGACACTAAGATCGACAATCAATAAATGGGACCTCTTGAAACTGAAAAGCTTCTGTAAGGCAAAGCACACAGTCAACAAGACAAAACGGCAGCCCACAGAATGGCAAAAGATATTCACCAATCCCACATCTGACAGAGGGATGATTTCCAAAATGCACAAAGGACTCAAAAAGCTAGTTATCAAAACACCAAATAATCCAATTAAAAAGTGGGGTACAGAACTAAATAGAGAATTCTCAATAGAGGAATCTACAATGGCTGAAAGACACTCCCTTAAGAAAGTGCTCAACATCCTTAGCCATTAGGGAAGTGCCAATCAAAACAACTCTGAGATACTATCTTACTCCTGTCAGAATGGCTAAAATCAATGACACCAAAGACAGTTTATGCTGGAGATAATGTGGAGAAAGGGTTGTGTACACTCCTCCACTGCTGGTGGGAGGGCAAACTCGTACAGCCACTTGGAAATCAGTATGGCAATTCTTCAGGAAAGTGGGTATTAGTCTACCTCAAGATCCAGCAATTCCACTCTTTGGCATATACCCAAAAGATGCACATTCATACATCAAGGACATCTGTTCAACTATGTTCCCAGCAGCAATACTTGTAATAGCCAGAACCTGGAAGCAACCTATATTCCCCTCAAGTGAAGAATGGATGGAGAAAATGTGGTACATTTATACAATGGATTACTACTCAGCAGAAAAAAAAAATGGAATCTTAAAATTTGCAGGCAAATGGATGTAACAAGAAACCATCTTGAGTGAGGTAATGCAGTCACAAAAAAAAAACACAGCACGTAATCACTCATATATATGGATTTTAGACATAGAGCAAAGGATTAGCAGTCTACAATCCACACCACTAGAAAAGCTAGGAAACAAGGAGGACCCTCAGAGAGACACATATGATCCCCTGGAAAAAGGGAAAGGAACAAGATCTGCTGAACAAATTGGGAGCATCTGGGGAGGGGAGAGGAAGTTAGGAGAAAGAGACAGGGAGAGGGGGACATGAGGGAGCAAAAAGATTGAGTCAAGGGAATAATAGAGGAGACTAAGAAAAGAGACACCATAATAGAGGAAACCAGTATAAGTTTTAAGAGATATCTGGCCTAGGGAAATGTCCACAGACCTACAAGGATGACCTCCAACTAAGAATCTAAGCAATAGTGGAGAGGCTACCTTAGATGCCCTTCCCAGATAATAAGATTGATAACTACCTTACATGCCATGCTAGAGCCTTCATCTAGTAGCTGATGGAAGCAGAGGCAGATACCCACAGCTAAACACTGAACTGAACTCTTGGAATCAAGTTGCAGACAGAGAGGAGCGATGAGAAAAGGGGTCAAGACCAGGCTGGAGAAACCCACAGAAACAGCTGACCTGAATAAGGGGGAGCTCATGGAATCCAGTCTCATTGCTGGGAAGCCAGAATAGGACTGACCCAGATTCCCTGAATGTGGTGTTAGTGGGGAGGACTGGGAAATCTATGGGGCCTCTTGTACTGGATCAGTATTTATCACTAGTTTCTGAATGGACTCTGGGAGCCCATTCCACATAGAGGGACACTCCCTCAGCCTAGACACATGGGGGAGGGCTTGGGCCCTGCTCCAAATGATATGACAGACTTGAAGACTCCTCATGGAAGTCTGCTCCCTGGGGAGTAGAAAGGAGATGGAATGGGAGTTGGTGGGGAGGAAAAGGAGAGGGCAGGACGATGCGGAAATGGGATTTATGTGTAAAATAAGCTTGTTTCTAATTTAAATGGTAAAAATTATATTAAAAAAGAAAAATATCCAGGACACCACTAAATAATGCTGGTATAACTCAGTCAATACACAAATTTCCCCACTTGCCTTGAAACACCTTTTCAGTGAGTTACTCTAATCAGGAAAGGCGCAAAAGCATGGGCCAGACATAAATGTGAGTATCATATTTTTCAAATCTCTTTATTCTGGACAGAAGCAGAGAGGCCAGGCTACTCTGTGCTTTGATAGTGTATCAAGACCCAACATTAAAAGGAAACACAATAAAGCCTGCATCACATACCCCAAAGGGGTGTCAGCCATGCAGCCCAACCATTCATGCTGCCTGTTAGCAACAAATGGACTTGAGGAATCACTTGCTCAGAATGTGTTTCAATAACATCAGATTCGGGCTATTACCTGCTTATACAGTGCGTAGAGTTTCAGCTTCACTTGGTTTCCTGGGTCCTGCTTCAAGAGTTTCACTTGGTTCATTGCATTTTCAAAGTCTTGCTGACTGGCTCTCATCGTTGGTCTGCCCAAGTGCACCTGAGCCACTGGGAACCTAAAGACCTGCAGAAGACTACAAACAGTGGTTTCTGTTTGTTCCTAGCCCTTCACTCCCACAGCAGAATTGCTGATTGGTTCCAACCCATATTAATCAAAATGACTGCTTATCTGCAATATTTTCTCTAAGTACGCAACTTCCCGCAGACTGGTACAAACTTATTCAAATGAAGTGTAGGTTTTGCCTGTTGAGAAAGTCACCCATGCCACTGCTTTACTGCAAGCACCAGGTTCCAGACTTTGCTTCTGATGCACGGGTTCTTTGTGCTGTTCCACATGGGTCACTCTATTAAGCCATTTGTCTCCACATAGCGAACGGATTGTTTGAATCCCACGCTGCTAATAAAGTGTGTGTCGCTTAGCTAACTAGCAATGCTGGGCACAGAGTCGCATTAGCCAAGGCACTGAGCGCCCTAGGAAGTTCCGGGCAGGGCCTGCAGGCATGGGCGCTGCTAGGGCTAGAGTTTCCAATTTTCCCTTGTGGGCAGAAGTGGTCAGAGCGAATCCATTCTTACCCTTCCGGATTCAGCAGAGAAAGGACATTCGAGGTCACTCTTAGGAGTTCTCTCGCTGGCAAACCGCCAAAGGAGTATCTTGCTGTCCTCCTAGCCAGACCAGGTGACAGTGCGGGCGGCTCGGCGGAAGGGCGGGCGACAAAACCCCGCTGGCAAGTTTGGGCCAGACAGCAGAAGCTGCAAGCTTACCTCGGACACCAGCACCGCGCCTGTCTCCAGGTCACTGCCGCCATAGCTAGATGCTCAGGACAAAATGAGCACTAAGCCTTAGGCCCAGCTAAAAATGCTGTGGGTGACCAGGAAGGGGCGGAGCCAGACCGGAGCTCAGGGCGTAGGCGGAGCCAGGGTGTGAGCTCGGGCGGTGAGAGGAGCCCTGCACAATAAGGAGGGCTGAGCAGAGCTAGGATGTGAGCCCTGGGTAGCTGGCCACTCCTTTAGGGTTGAGAATGGGCGGGTTTCGGGGGAGGAGTCCAGAATTACTGAACCGGGTCCAACTATGTGCAGAGGGCATGGCAAAGAGGGCTGGAAGCAGTGCTCTAGGACCGTTTTCAGCACATTCCCCAGCACACTCACTTTTAGGTCATAGAACACTTGTTTACAAGATTAAATGGATAAGAATGCCCTGGCATGCTTTTCTTGCACAATAAAGTTTAAGCTGAATGTGGAAGGGCATTGCATAAACTGCATTAATGTAGAGATTTGCCCCTGAAGGTATTTTAAGATTACTTGGAGCATAGACCATGTCTTGTAAACACAGTGTTGGACTGGAGATTGGGTTGCGTTTGGGGCAGTTTTCAAGGAAAGGGAACCACTGTGAGTTGGGTAGCACTCTATTTGAGCATGAGTCCATACTAAGGAGTTTGAATGCTGTGCTAAGAATACTAGAGAGCCATATATAAGCTAATTGGTGGAGCTAGAGAGTTGACTCAGCTGTTTGAGAACATTTGTTGCTCGTGCAGAGGACCCGGGTTTGCTTTCCCTGAACCTACAAAGTGACTCATAGCCATTCATAGCTCCAGGTCCAGGGGAACAGAGCCCATCTTCTGACCTGTGCAGGCACCAAACACACAGGTGGTATACATATATACATAGATGCAACATCAACCACACATAATCAACACACATAAATTAACAAATAGGTAAAATTAAACAAAAAAGGTAAAACCAGAATCTGTCACCCAGGCTCGTTGGTATCTTGCCATCTTCCTGCCTCTGCCTCCCAAGTGCTGAGGTAACATATATCACAGCCATGATTTTTTTCTTTGTCTTTGTCCTTTAGCAGTTTGGCCTTGATGAATGTAAGCATATGTTCATAGAACTGATCTTGTTAGGAGTTTGATGAGCTTCTTAAATGTGTGAAGTTATAATTTTCATCCTATTTGAGAATGTTGTAGTCAGGAGTTGTTTAAGTATTTGTCTGTCTCAGTCCAAAGCCCTTATCTCTTACTCTGTACATACAGTAATGAAGAGATGCCCACCCCAAGTTCATGTAGCTGTTTTAAAATTTTTAAAGTAATTTTGATTTTTTTTTCAGTTTAGCTAATTTCTGCTGACCTATTTTCAAGTTTACTGACACCTGTTATTTTCTCTATTTGCTGTGGTTCCTGTTTTATGCCTTTTAAAATTTGAGATACTCTCTTTTCTTTTAATTCTCAGTTTTCCATTTGAAAATAATTTCTTGGGCAACAGCTTGTATCTATCTTTCCAGTTTAATATGCCTACTTACACTACATGCAGGATGATGGCAATGGCTACTTCATATTATTGAATCCAATTAGTTTGATTTTGTGCCACACAGGTTTGGTCTTGTGCATGTGACCCCTCAATTTTCTTGCCTTCATCAGGACTCCCTTTCTTGCATTATCTAAACCTGGATTGGGCAGTTCTGAGAGGTGGCTCAGATTCTCAGCTGAGTTATGAGTTCTCTCCACCAACAGATTCTTCTTCAGTTGTGATAAATAACTTAAATCATATTAAAATAGTGGGTTCACTGATAAAAATTCACAAGTCCCATTCAGTCAGTGCCATACTCTATTACTGATTATATTCTTGGTTAAATCCTTTTTTAAAATTCTAAGCACCTGTAGAGTTTTGTGAGAGAAAAAATTAGCACTCATTTTATATCCCTCAAGATCCTAAGCCCAATTATTAGTGAAGGTAATCTTCATAAATCAAATGACATGATACACTGAGATGTCATGGGAGGTAGGTGGAATTAATGTATTAAAGTGTTAGTATCAATCATAGGCCAATAGGACAAATAACTCATTAACATGATTCATGAAAGATGATTTATCTGCTATTCATCTGCCACAGGCACCTGCTTTAAGCAGGTGTTGGCAGCAATGACAAGGCTGGCATGTTGGCAACATTCATTCATTTGTTGTCAATTGCACCTCCAGAAAGTAGGTATTGATCATCTCTTGGGTGCCAGGTCTTAGCAAAGGACACTGGAGTAAAGTTGAGGCTTTGATGAGTTGGCTGTGAACTTAGGTCTCTACTCCTCCTGCTATACAGAGAAAGACAGTGTGTTTCCATCCATATTAGTTCCGGGAAGCCACACAGCAAGGATCTTGTAGTGTGAGCCCACTTCTTTTCTATGTAACAACATCAGCAACCATTGGATGATGTTGACGTTCAATAAGTTTAGCTCAGCATCATCAATGAGCCACGGTTTTCCAGAGTACATTTTTTTTTGTTGTTGTTTTACTGACATGAAATTGAAGCCTAGAGTCTGAGTAGATTTCAAGGTCTTAGATTCAAGATCTCAGAATTAGTGACTCTATTGATCTGGGAGCTCAAACCCATAACCACAATGATTTATCTCTTGGTTGATTATTCTTATGAGTGAAAAAAAGTCAATAACCAGAATTTCAATGAATACATGAGGTGCTTTGGGGAGGCAATCTTTTTTTCAGAAAATGTAAATTTTGTATCAAAATTCAAATCGCCCATTATGTTAATGGTAACAAAACCAATCTATGTAAAATGAATTTAGGTCAATGAATGCAATATTGTACTTGGGTTCTATAGAAAATAGAACTGATAGAAAGCATATATAGTGCAAATGGGATTGATTAGATTGGCAGACACAGTGCACACTGGGTAGTCCAAGATGGCTGAATGTGCATTGGAGAGGCTAGCAGCTTCACATCCCATGAGGCTGAATGCCTCAGAAGTTCCACTTAGTGATGAAGGTCAGGAAGATTCCCATAGGTCCCCTGGTCTTTGCCCTCTGTGGAAGATACAAGGAGCTGGGTTCAGCCTTCCAATGCCCTTCTTGAAGCCTCTTGAGGACTGTGCACTGGGCAACCTGTCAAAATGGACCACCCCACCCAGACTCTGCCAGTGTCCTAGTACTGCCTCCATTTACTGGAAGAGGAGAACCATTGGGATATTGGTTGCACCCACCAAAAGAAAACCCACCAGGAGAGGAACAGACCCTACTGGTATGCATTGGAAGAAGGGATGGGTAGATGACAGTATAAGAACATAGTCAACAACAGAATGATGAATATGATACTACCAGAGCCTAAGGACTCCACATCAGCAAGACCTGAACATTCCATACAGATGAAGCAGAAGAGAATGACCCTAAAAATAACTTTATAACTATGATAAAGACCCTCAAGGAGGTAATGAGAAAATCCCTTAAGGAAACAGAAGGAAAAAACAAACAAAAAAACAAGAAATGGAGGAAAAGACAAACCAAAAGTTGCAAGCAGCAATTTAAACAGTACAAGGCTTTAAAGCTGAAATAGAGACAAAAACAACAACAAAAAACAAAACAAACAAAAACAAAATCAAACAAACAAAAAACAAAACAAAACAAAACAACAACAACAACAACAAAAACCAAAACCAAAACCAGTCTGAGGGAATGGCTGAAAATACAAAAGTTAGGTAAATGATCAGGAACTAAAGATGCAAGCAATAATGAACAGAATACAAGAGATGGAAGAGAGAATCTTAGGCATTGAAGATATACTAGAAGAAATAGATTCATCAACCAGAGAAAAATCTTAAGTTCAACAAATCCCTAACACAAAATATCCAGGAAATATGGGACACCATGAAAAGGCCAAATTTAAGAATAATAGGTATAGAAGAAGGTGAAGAAACCCACCTCAAAGGTGCAGGAAAATATTCAACAAAATATTAGTAGTAAACTTTACCAACATAAAGAAAGACAATGAATGTACAAGAAGCTTACAGAACACCAAATAGAGTAGACCACACAAACACACACACACACACACACACACACACACACACACACACACACACAAATCCCCTCGACACATAATAATCGAAACACCCAACATACAGAATAAAGAAAGAATACTAATAACAACAAAGGAAAAAGGCCAAGTAACATATAAAGACAAACCTTTCAGAATTACACCTGACTTCTTCACAGAAACTCTGAAGGCCAGAAGGTCCTGGATAGATATTCTACCAACACTAAGAGACCATGGATGCCAGCCCAGACTACTACACCCAGCAAAGCTTTCAATAACTATAGATGGATAAAGCAAGATATTCCATGACAAAACCAGATTGAAACAATACTTATCAACTAATCCAGCCCTATAGAAAGTTTTGGAAAGAAAACTCCAACCCAAGGAAGTTAAGTACACCCACAAAGACATAGGCAATAGATAATCCCGCTTTACCAACATCCAAAAGAAAAAGGGGGAAATCCACACACAATACCCACCACCACAAAATCCAAAACAAACAAGAATGAACAATCAATGGTCATTAATATCTCTCAATATTAATGGCCTTAACTCACCTATAAAAAGACACAGGCAAACAGAATTGATGTGTAGACATAACCTATCCTTCTGCATATATGAAACACACCTCAACTTCAAAGACAGATGTTACCACAGAGTAAAGGGTTGGGAAAACATTTTCCAAACAAATGGACAGAAGAAACAAGCAGGTGTAGCAATCCTAATATCTAACAAATTAGACTTTAAACTAAAATCAATCAACAGAGATAAAGGTCATTTCTTATTCCTCACAAGAGAAATCCATCAGCACAAGGTCTCAATTCTGAAAATCTATGCCCCCAAACACAAAGACACCCACATTCATAAAAGAAACATTACTAAAACTCGAATCAAACATAAAACCTCAC